TGTTGAGAAGCCCGCCATAGCGTTTTTTGACAAATAGATGTTAGTGCGGCATTTGTGTCCGAGTTCCTCATTATGGTAAATCCCTTAGCATTTGCCTAAATGCGCATAGGTTCTACCCCAATTGAGGCCAGCCTTTACTTTGTGTTGCAGAATTATAGTGACAACGAGAATGCCTCTTTGTCACCGCTATTGTCAAACCTTATTTATCCGGAATCCGTTTCTTTGATGCCATTGCGACGGACACGAAGACCGAGATTACCTTTGGCATAATATATTGGCCTATCCTAAATGAACACGGTGGCCATACTCTTCTGTTTGTACGTGCATTTGCCATACCTAACACGCCTCAATAATGCTACAAGTAGTGTTTTGCATGCGCAATGTTTATCGGCCGTTGATGTACTGAGTTTGACCCGTTCTTTTAAAAAAAAGAGATGGTCGAATGCTAAGGGCCCAAGATTCATCGGCATGTCTTGACGGACTGCCTTAAGCCAGATTTCAGGAGACCCTTTTCCTCCTCTGCAGTTAGGTAGTGGTGTGAAATATGCTGTAAGGACCCTCTAACCATGCTACGGTCGGCGAAGAATGTTCCCTTGGATAACTTGTGATAGGGCTGTGTATTATTGAGTACGGGCTGTTTGATTCGAAGCAAGGCCGAAATACTTTACTCATTCGCAGGCAATAGTTATCAAGACCTCTCAATTCTGTTCATGTTATACCCCTACAGCTTGTCATTCACAACCGTACAGGGATTGACTGGACAAAACAAGAACCCCATAGGCAGCATATGTTCGGACAATGTTGCCGTCCTCCATCCGCTTGATAAAGAGTGCTTCAGGTGATATGTGAAACCGTTAAGTAAACAACTAATCAGGGCTCTTCCACTGGTCAAAGATACAGCCCCAAAACACGCTGATCGTTGCAGCTTTTACTGATAAGCTGACCAGTCTGGTGACCTCACTCATTCGAACCATGACATTCTGTAGGTCAACAGGACTTGGCGTAAGTAGAACGATGTTAGCGTACTGGCATTACGACGCAGGCCGAATTAGAGAATTCGCCCTGCCAAACTAGTCTTGGACATTAGCAGGATGTTTGGGGAACTACAAAAACCTGGGTTGACAGGATCCCTCTACTTCTTTATTCAAACTTTGTCGTTTGACATAAAACTGGGTCGAGTTCTTCGGATCCGCTATCGTTGCTCTGGTGAATATTATCAGTAGTACCGTAAAGACAGTCACCATAAAACGGTGTAGATTAGGTTTCATAGAACCATAAAAAGTACTAGCACAATGATTGCAGGATTACCGTGCATATTTCAGACCAATTTTTAATTTGGAAAAGGCAATGTGAGGTCTACACACCTTAAATACTCAAATTCAATAGTATTACTCCACAGGTATTTGTTATACTTTAAGGCCGAATTGGCTTGAACGAGTGTGCGGTGAAAATGCTTTGGTGCATATTGTTCAGTAAACCTTATTCTTTAGCGTTCAGTCCAATAAATATCTTTCGTAAGACTCGCACGCTCATTAGTACATTCTGCAGTCTCACAGCCTGTCCCGACGACTCTTATATTGAAAAAAAAGTTACCAAAGGATAGGCTGGCCTTGCCCTACTGCTAAATCGACTGATTAGCTAGATTGAGTGAAATTACTCCATTAAGCGGGAAAACGGAAATTCTATGCCTTATAGGTGCTTTGGCAGACAGAATTTGACTTGGTGACTAATCCCATTATTATAGTCTTTCCGTCGTATATAAACGTTCCGCTGGCCTCCCTTATTCTACTGGCTTATGGACTTCGGTCTGAAGGGCATATTTACTGAACTGCGTAAGGTCAGAGGCAGTGTTGGTGATTACTTTAAAAAAATATAACAACTCGCCTAAATATTTTCTTTTTATAGAGTTGTAGTAGTGACCGGGGAAACGGGCAGCGGAAAGTCCACCCAACTTCCACAGTACGTCTACGAGGCTGGTTGGTTGGCCGACCGGCACTCTGATGGCCCCTACATTGCGATCACTCAGCCTCGTCGTGTGGCTGCGCTCACTTTGGCTGCACGTATTGCCGAGGAGAAAAATTGGCGCTTGGGACAGGAAGTCGGGTACCTGATCCGCTTCGAGGTCAGCTTCATTTACCCCTTTCCTCGCTCTCATCACCGCGTCCTAGAATGTGCTTTGGGGATACTACCCGACACCACAGTTGATACTCAGCTACTAGCCGAAATCAAATGTAACGTAGACACTTCAGTGCTCTCTATAAATTTTTTGATATGAATTTAGCAGGGGCATTTATTAATCTACGCATACAGACATGCTGTTCGTTGCTTTAGGTCTTTTCCAGCTAGCCTCTACTTATTTTCCAATAAGCTTTGTCTCATATATATATTATTCCATGAATTCAAAGTATCTGTAGAAAACCCGCAAAACCTGCAATATTTTGCCCCTGAGAGAAACTGTGCTTTCAAAACCCTGTCTTCAGGCTAGTAGATCGGAGGACCATATTTATGATTGGTTTCAACAAGAGTGGAAAAAGTCGGCGGATCCTAGGTTCTGAGGGGTCCGAATGGACTGTGGACCGTGCACACCGACCTTTATAATGAGTTGTCAGTTCGGTATGCATTAAAAGGTACAATATCATTAAATGCTCGCGTTCACTTAAATAACTTCTCACTTGAAGCAGTCTTCACCTTCAGTGGCCTGCGGAAAAACAACCGACAACAGTTTATGCCAATGATTAACCAGTTTGTGTTCCTTAATATGAGTCCGCTAGCGTAAAGATGGTCTAAATTAGCTGATTAAGATTTCATACCAATAAGACTGAGATATTTAGACTTCTGCGGAACCCTCACTGTATTCTGCACACAAATCTGGCAAGGTCATGACCTTTTAATGGACCTCATCCCTGGACTTTGAACAAAGTCCTGTAGTCCGGTAGTTAGAGTCGATGCTCATGCACTACTCCCACTCAGCTGTTTTCCACTCCACTCTGGCATTCAGGAGGCTCAGGATATTCAAATTCTACGTTATAAGATGTTATTTTTCTAATAATTGCCGCCCAAGTCTTATAAAACCTCTTATAGTTCGTCGAGCGTCATGTTTTGCCTCTTTTCTGTATTTTGCATAAGTTCTAGACAAAACGGCTAAGAATCTTAGTAGCTGCTTGTGGAATAATTACAGTTTCTTCATTTATTGCCTTGCCAAATTATGAACTCCCTCCGTGTCTGAAGAAAAGTCTACTCATGGGACACACATTTTTGCGTTTTCAAAATTTTCGATTTTCTTAGGAGGGTCGTGATTTCTATTCAATAAAGTGGTCAATTTGTCAGGCACAACATGCTTTTCGGCAACTCTTCTTCAGGGCCTTAACTTTGCAAACAATGAAATTTTGAACATGTACAAAAATCAATAATTTCTGAGTTGTGCGCCAATTGGCCATTGCGGGCTTTTTCAGTCTGCGCAAATGGTCGGCATGTTGGTTGGGCGACCGCACTCTTGGCTGGGGGTGATATGCTATCGTCTTTTGGCGTCGGTTTCGGCCACGGGAGGGTCAGGGCTTGTGTAATTGTCTTCTGGCAGCACAGTACTGAATTCAATAGGCGTATAGCCACTGCTTCT